TAATGTTTGTTATTCCTTGCGTTGTTAACTCTGATTATCTTCGGTCAAGTTCCAGCGGATTGTTTATCAATCGATCTGTCTCAGCTTGTCTAGCAGCAGGATCAGCTATATTTGCTGTAAGTGCCTCAATTAGTTTTCTTTTTTCTTCATTAGATTTAGTAAAAAGTTTTGCAGCAGCTGCTTCCTATTGTTCTTTAACAATTCCAACCAAACCTTTTTCTTGCAGTTGTTTAAGTTCTTCTGATAGTGGTTTAGTTTCAGGTTGTTTACCTAATAGTGCTTCAGTAACCGGTTTGAAAATTGTAGCTGTTGCTTCTGTAGCAGTCATTTGTCCACGTCGTGCTTGTTGTACTTTTTGCTTAAGTAATGCCTGAGATTGAGCAAGTTTTTTTTAGATCTTCTATGTGTTTTCTATATTTTGCTCGTTTGTCCATTATTATTATTATTATAAATTTTATAAAATTGAAACCCCTTACTGTAAGTAAGTGTCAATACAACAGCGAAACATTTTAGTTGGATCATGTGTAAATTTATTAAACAAGAAAAAGTTGAATTTATCTTTTGTAGCATTACGGTAAAGATCAATAAACTTATCTTTTGTCACGTCGCCGTAATGCTCCCTTGCAATATTTCTAACGTCAACATTGTCCAGTCCTGGAAATAATATAAAACAACCAGTATTTCGTCTAATAAATATGTCAACATTAAAAAAAAATCTTGAGCGAGATAAACAGTATTACACTGTTCGTTACGTGACAGTGAGAAATATGATCTTATTTTATCCATCTCCATGTTATTTAGCGGAATATCGTCAAAAACTGCTATCTTGTGTTCATCTGCATCAAGTTGATTAACTGGAATAAGATCTTCTGGCTGCCTAATTATAAAAAAAATCTTTACCAGCTTTAAGATCATCACGAAGCTTGTCATTATACTCGCTTAATAACTCGTACTTATCCTGCTGTGGATTGATCGTGTAAATATAAACTCTGTCATGGTTAAAATTATCACCAAGAAGCAAGTTTATAAGCAAATTTGTTTTTCCTGATCCAGTTCGCCCAACAATAAGATAATGACAATCAGGAAGTTCATTGTTATGTTTGTGCTTCACCAGCCTCTCTGTATCAAAATTTAATATCGACGATTTTGCCATTTAGTATAATATTAAACTAGTGTTGATAATTTTATGTAAGACAGTAAATAATGAGCTACTATACAAAATTTGGAACACTATCAGGAGATTTATCCACAGAAGGTTATCAAGGTGATTTATCCAAGTATGCAACTCTTGATCAGCTCAAAAGTGAAATCAATAATTTACTAAATGTTGCCAGTGTAGATCCAAATGAAGTAGTCATTTTCCAGAACAAAGAAGGACGATTAAAATCGAGTGATGTAAAACTGTCAGATATACTTGTACGAATTCCTAATGCGGTTACTGATAATATCGTGACTTTTAGCAATCGAGATAAGACACGAGATTCTGGCAGGTCAGTTAATGATTTTGTTAAGAAAGCTGGTGATTTATTTAGTGGGAATATTGTTATGAAACAGAACAAGATTACAGATCTTGGAAACCCAACTACAGATGGAGAAGCTGGTACTAAAATATACGTCGACGATCAAGAATCAAAGTACATGTCAGTCAATGGTGGGTGGTATGATGCGTGCATTTCTCTATATGAACAATAATGCCATTACTAACCTCAGAAAACCCATGTCTGATTTTGATGCTGTAAACAAAAAATACGTCGATGATCAGGACGTTCCAATCAGTAATGAAATAACAGCGCTCAAAAATGAATTTACCGATCACGTAAAAAAGTTTACAACTTTTCGCAGAAACATAAACACGCTTAAAGATGTTTGTTTTGGAGATCCATCAATTGTTAACATTACACTCGCTAATATTAACACAAAACTCAATGATATTAACACAAAACTCAATGATATTAACACAAACTCAATGATATTATTAGTGGAATTCCTGATATTACTCAAAAAACGAGTATGTATAAAATTCCTCACAAACAGATTAAAAATATTGTGTATACTGTTGCTTCTGGGTCCGATACATGGACAAGGCAACATAAGTTTATCAAACATATTGCAGAAGTTGCTGGTGTGTATAGATTCTTGGTGATTAGCAATTAAAATTTTAAAATATTTAACTTATCTCCATTTGGTAAATTAGAAACTTCTTCTGAAATTGTATCTATAGCATTACCCAAAGGTTTTGAAGAAGAATTTACACTTGAACCGGTTAATACAATTCTAGCTAAAGCCGATTATAAGTGGTGGTTGGAATTTATAGCTAAATTATCATAATTACCTACTACTACCAAGCCTGGGGGTTATGTAAACAAATATTATAATGAAAAGAAGTATAGTTGATTTAAATCATATTTGAAAAGATATTCCAGTACAGGATGTGGACGCACTAATACAATACTACAAATATTATCACAAAAAACTTTGGTGCGTAAAAAATGTTACAAATACTGCAACAAGATCCTTCAAGTAATATCATATCTACCGTTGTTAATGACTAGTTCTGGTATAATTTCAAGTGGGGTATCATTAAATACATTTTTATTAATCATATCCGGTATTAGTATTTCACTTACAGCGGCGTGTAAAAGAGTAGAACCAAGACTTTTAATAAAAAGCACGGATGTTTAACATCTGTTATAACTTACCAAAAACTACTTGATCAGATCCGGTCTTACCTACGAGGAGTCAAATATAATATAGATGATTTATTACGTGAATTTCGCATTATTGACAATATGTTAACAGACATTATACCAATGAGTATTAGCAAGTATGAAACAAATTATCAAAAAAAATATGAGTAACGTAAAATTTTATCTAAACTTAAAATATAATATCACTTACCTTCATCATTTTCGTTCAAATGCGTAGTTTAATTTCCGCCTTCCACGTGTTAACTGAAATCGCCACACTCTAATGCGCACTAAGAATCTACACACAGGTGATCACGTGTAAGGTAATAGCATCCTTGTTTCACTACCTGTAAACTGCAGTATAAAAATCCAGGTAAACTGATGACTAACAGTCACCTGTAAAATATAGAGAGAGGCTAAACTGATAGATCTTATCTTTTCCGACTGAAATTTTATCTAAACTAAAGAAATACTGTTTGAAAAATTTAACAGTAGTAAAATCTAATGAAACATGAGGTATAAAATAATATAACTTACCTTTCTCGTGTTCGTTCTAATGCGTAGTTTAATTTCCGCCCTGCATAGCATATGTTATTTGATGAAAAGCTAGCGGTAGACTGATAATAATAAAACCCGTCTTGCTGATTCGTGAATATTCCACGCATGCGCCTGTTCTAACAAATTCGTCAACCTCTGTATGACAGAGCTTACCTGGATGACTCACCGATTACATAGCATCTCCTGCACCTGTTGTTTTGTAACAATACAAAATACCTGTCTGCACCTGTTGTTTTGTAAAATACGTAATACCACCTTTTGTGCTATAATGACAGAGCTTCTGTTAACTTACCTGGATAGTATAAGGAAGTTTACCTGAATACCGATCATATACATGACTCTCTACCTGGATTCATTAACACTGTAATAACAGAGAGAGAGAGGGGTGAGCTAGAAACCTTACTAATACTTTTGAAAAAAGGATTGGGGGACAGTTTAGGACTATAGTTTATATTTGTTTGGATGGGCAAAAGAGGGGTTTGAGCTGAAAATCTTGTTTTCCTATACTACTAAGTACCCTTTTAGTCTTATGTACCGTTTCTAAATGAAAGGAATAAACTTGATCTAACCGTAGTAAACCACTTCTTGTATTTCAGTTTTGTCAATAAAACGGGTATTTTAATAGTGACTAAAACTACACTTACTTTTTTCCCAAGTACATGCACACTTGTGCCTAAAATTACAAAGGGATATATTGGAAAGTTTCATCGGATTAATACTCGTGGGCGTAGGGTATTTAGATCGTTCCCACGTTAATCGATGTCAGTGAAACGTCTACGTCCAACGCACGTGAGTACTCTGATCATTAAGAAATTACTATGATGGACTGAACGTCATCTTAACCTAGATATGTAGTGAGTCATTATTTATGAAATATTTCTCCATATAATAATAACAATACCTGTCTGTATTATTCTTATTCCTGAAATAGAAAAGGATTCTAATTAAGGCACAACCTACCTGCAAGGGGTAAGTCCCTTTTATCGATTGGTAGTGTATGCCCTCGGTACAGTGCCGGTATATGTATATTCTATTTGTAGGTGTAAGTTACCCGCAACCTTATGCAAGATTAATGTAAATTGTTCGATACTAACACTAGGTCCCAAAACGGGTTGGTTTACAGTTGTAAACTGACATTCACCCGTGGAAAGCTGTAGATAAAATTATCTACTCGTCGAATCAAGCGTCACTTAGGATTGTACCAGCTAGTGGATACACCTTAAATAAGAAAACATAATACGAAGAACATGCACTAGAGGAAGCCGGAGAAGTACTGACTCAAACAAGATAAAACCAAACTAAACGCAATTCTACTTTACGCTTATAACTGAAACAAATTTTTAGGGCTGTCATGAGAATAAACCAACAGGAAATTATGCTAAATTATGTATTGCCTTCTTGGCCTGAATAGTACATTACCCAACAACATGACTCAGCAAGAAACGTAGGTCACTACAACAACGTACGTACGTTTTAAAGTTGTTAACATTAGCGATAGGAATTGTGTGTGTGTGTGTGTGTGTTTGAGTGTGTGTGTGTTTGCGTGTTTTTATTTGTGTGTGTGTGTTTTAGATTTTTTAACGTATCTTTGAAAAATTGTCAGTCATATCGCTATGATGTCTGCAGTGTGACAGTTTATAGTGATGTCTAGGATTGGTGCATCATGTCGCAGACATGTGGCATGATATCCCACCGAGTGACATTATCCTGACACCAAGCCAACCAATCCTAACACTAACCTTTTAGTGCTGAGTATGACTCAGCCGGGATTCGAACTCGCCAGCTCCTGCATCCGAAGCGAACGCTCTAACCACTACGCCACCGGAGCGGTTAGTGATAGGAATTATCTACAATACAGTTTCCAGGGATGAAGAGTGTCTGGAATACTTTTACAAGCGCAAATGTAATCGCTGTCAGGACCTGATCAGCTCTAGTCTTGGTGAGTGTGGGTAGAGGCTTCCACAACTCCCAAAAAGGGCACTGGCTTTACTCGAAAGGGCACTAAATCGAACGTCCATGTGTTTGTTTGCTCAGTGTTTTGCATAATACTCAATAAAAATGCACAGAAATAAAAAGAAGGTCAAATTTCAAGTGGCAAGTGGCGTACTTTGTGTGTTTGCTTGTATGTGTGCATATTTGTTTTAGGCTGGGAATCCTAGAAGCCCTACCTTGGTCAGGCCCAAGTTGTACATAAATTCCAATGTATTTTGGCAGGCGCTATACAATCCATGTCTGACTGAGAACGGATATGAATGACACGAATAAGATGAATCTGTTCGAAGTAAAATAAAATTAGTTTTCTTTAAAGAGAATACATTTTGCTTTAAAACTGTTGATTTCTACGTTTCCGCAAATCTCTTCCCTGAGCAGGAAGTGGAAAGAGGCATGCCCTCATCGATAAAAAACATACTTTTTGCTATATACATTGCTTCCTTACTTTTGAGAGACAGAAACACTAAATGTTGCTGTAACATGGTTTTGTCTTGCATCATGATGCAAAAGATAGTAAAACTTTGTCTGCACACCATTCTGTTTACCGCATTATGTGCCTGGAACACCATTCTGTAATAATAACATTTTTTTAACTTGAGAAAAACAGCCCAAAAAAGACGTATTATTTTACCAAGAAATGAATCAGCCTGAAGATAAAAATACGTAAAAGCAAGTTACTAAAAAAGACGTTTTAGCGTTCCATCATAACGAATTTCACCATAAAGATTATGTTGTTGTTGTTGTTGGGCTTAATGCCATTTTTCAGCACATGATAGGCTATTCATGGCGGCCAGTATTAATGGTGGAGGAAGAAACCGGGAAATCACCGGAAAGAACCACCGACCCACGAGAAGCTACTGGAAAGCTTTCTCACATATCCACATTCGCCGAATCCTAGACTCGAACCCACGCAGAAAGAGGTGATATGGCAGTGATCTGTAACGGACAGCGCTTTAGACCACTCGGCCACTCGGGGCTCCTTACATAAAAATTATGAAAAGTATGTCTCTGCTGACAATGTTTACCTTAATATACATATAACATATAATATGAATATTACATACATTGGATCACATCATTAAGTTTTGCATTTGATGTACGATTAAAACAAGGACGGTTGGGGAGGGGATCAAATAAACCCCACCCCACCCCAAAAATGGATGAGAGTGGGTGGTGAAAAACGACGGTGAAAGTATGCTTTTTGAGCAGTTTTGCTAACCCGGATTTGTCAATAAACCGAATGAGGAGGAGAAGAAAAGGTGACATGTGTGAACAAAAGTATCTACATTTTATTACAGGTATTTTGCACGAATTGGTGTATGCAGACGTTTGAAAGTGCACGAGATAAAAGTTTTGGAGGCCGAGAGACAAGGCAGTGCATTTTCACATTCTTTGTTGTGTGCTCTTGCAAATATTCACACACATCAAAACGTGTATCGTCGTTTTTCTTTCATAATGAATTAATGAGTACATACAACTGCCTATAACATGATTTTTAACAGGAAGAAATGTATTCATTCAGCACGTGTACTTCCTTTGGCTTTTGTTAGGCTGAAGTCGTTAGATCGCATTTTCATAAAACATCATGATTTTCATCTCACACTTTGATTTGCCTCTAGGAGATAATCGCCGGACCTGTTGTCGATTATATCCTCCTTTATTCTAACCACGGGATTATGACCAGAGTAGCCGTGTGGTCTAAAGCGTTCACTGTTACGGGAGTAGGAGGTTCTAGTGTTCACCCTTACTAAAATGGATTTTTTTTTAAAATTTTATCAACTGAAAGAAACAGCATTAAATTGTTCATTTTTAAATAATCAATAACATGGAATATAGATTTTATGCTTTAATTTGTATAGAAGTTTTCAACGAATTCATTTCAATTCTAATTTCTTAATTTTGGGGAAAAAAGTTTAGCGGAATAAAATGCATTTTCCAGATAATTTGTGGCCACAGTTAAGTAGCGGGTAAAGTATTCCAGATTATAAAAATAATGTTTTTATTTTTCTTTGTCATAAGATTTTTCCAGCATCTAAATTATCCCTGAAACGCCTTAGTAAAACAAAAAAAAACCATCCAAGCTGAAAGTGGCATAAAATTCAACAGGGCATTCATTTATTCGAAAAGCATTATTATTTTTTATACTTTCTTATTTTATTGATGCTTTTATACACTTTTCTGCTTTTCTCCATGTGTAATGGAAGTTTCGTGTGTAACGCAGCTTCACTATCAGCAGGAAAAATGTTTCTATTTTGGTCCCGCCACGACAATTGTCACAAGAGCTTTGACTTTTATTAATGATTAATAAGAAGAAATAACTAGCTATGAATATTATTGTCTTTTTGATTTGATACAATTTTCTGTAATTATACTGGGGATAGATTCTCACTTTAATTTCTCATTTGTTCTAAATGCAATAAATATTGTGTACATTTTTTCGCCATCTTCGTAATTTACTGTGCAAGATTCAATAATTGACGCTTTCGTTTCTGTATCAAGATGAGCTATCATCTAAAAAAATATTTTCGTATTCATCGCTAGTTTCATTTAGAAAAGATTTGAAATCACTTATAGCTTTGTCGATACCTGGTTTCGCATCTCAGGCTAGGCTAATGTTGGTGTGTGAGAAAGTTTGCCAATCCCGTAGGTCAGTGGATCGTCCTGGGATTTTATACTGGATTCTTCTTCCATTAGATGTACCGATCGCCCTATATAGTGTTCACGTGCTGAAAATGGCATTAAACTCATAAGGACATAAGGACAACAACATTAAATACATGGATCATGAGAATATGTATATCAAACTCAGTAAAGAATGGTGATCAATTTACAATTTGTCTCGTGGGTCAGCTAATTGATGAGTGGAAATAATGTTAATTGTTATGAATGCAAAAGAAAATATCCTACTTACCGATATGAGGCGGGTAGGACTGAATCGCTTAATTTTGCTGGCCCCTGTTTTAATAGATTACACTATGCCACTACCATGTTTTCGATGGGAGAATATACGCTGATTTCACTCCCCATCATAAATATCTACAACAGATTTGGAATGGTTAGGAGAAACATGGACTATTCATTAGCATATTTACATTCGTTTCTTTTTCTTTCGGAACCAAGTGCACAACATGCATATAGGTCAGTCTGGTCATCAAGGGCCTTCCATATCAGGACTTTTTCTTCAATATGACATGGTTTATTGAAAACTCAGACAGTAACAAACTGTGTTCGGATGTTATGGTATGTCCAGACAAATTGATTCCCTAAAAGAACCATGTGGTGCATCGTCTTTTAATTTCAGATAAATGTCCACTCCACATGGTCTTTATAACAAATCCAGGAGAAAATCTGCATTTTTGGCCCCAGCAGTTCATTCATTTTGTGCTAAATATGATGCCCCTTCCCCTCAAACCCTCCCCCAGTAGTTGTCAATGTTTTAAGTATAAGATGGCAGTCAGCATTTTAGCCACATGTCATTAACAATAACAAGAACCGTCGTTACTACAATTTCAATAACGTGTTGACCAGTCAGCCAAAGATACGTCTCCCGGTAATCTGATTGTATCAAATCTCCTACTTAAGTATCCCAGCACCTTTAAATTTTATTCTATGTACCCATGTTTCAACACTGTCAATTTATATTTCCTGGTAACGTACAACATAATTGAATGAGAAAGATTTCAACATAAAAAAGTAAGATATCTTTTACCCAGGATATGTTGGAGCTTTCATCATTTGGTAGGCATTAATATGGAAAAGGGAAAACACGCATATTTGATTGTATACAATGAAATCTCTCTGATCATGTATTGTAGTTATGACAATAAGAAGATTTTGGAAGCTTGACATAGTTCAAAAGGAATATTTTCTAATCCTTTGTTAGACAATTTCACCATTAGTTATGTGTTTGTTAAACACATATGCAATATAAGAGACCAGAGAAGTTTATTTTAAAATCCTCTAGGAAATATAGGAAACAAAACTGAAAAGTTGTTATGATGAAAATGTAAACATTCATTAACATACATTTACAAACATGCATAACAAATTTCAGCCATCTGCCTCAAGTGGTTTTGTATCAAAAAGGTAAAATGTCCATGAAATACAAATAATTTGCAAACGTGAAAAATTGAAACAGTACTCTAATGGCCTAAAAATCCTATCATATCATCTAAATATAGGTTATGCCTATTAAAGCTCGTTTTTCTTCCATATGTGGATTTTGCTTATTCGTTTTTGATTTCGTCGAAACAATTCTGAAAACTTAACATGCTCGGAAAAAATATTTTGACAATTGCTTTAATAGTCTTAAAATTTAGGTCATGTGCTCAATACCATGATAAACTGCATACAAAATTCATGTTTTTCTGTTTAATAATTTCCGCTTTTGACACTAAAACAGAATTTTTGAGACGGGCATGCTGATATACAGACGCATGGACGTGTGGCATTACAACCGCAAAACAATATGCCATCCTTTTATCACAACGGGTCATAGAAACGTGTTGGCACTACTAAAAACAAAAGAGTGTTCAACAAGGTCCTGGCTAAAGACTTGAACTTGTCTTAATTGTGCCATGTTAGGATCTTGAGCAAATCAGATTTTGGAAAGAGGGTGAGAGATTTTGGTCTATTCAAATTAAATTGTCTGGTAGGTCTGATAGATCTTTATCATGACCTTTATATCCTCTGTCATCGTGTCTGTTTGTATCAGATATCATAGATGCTTCTTATGGCAATTGGTACCAGTTCCTTCTCCTCGTAGAGTCACAGAAACAATATCGGACATTTGGTAGATCGAAATGTTCGAAGCGATGATGGTATTTACTCTACACC